CCAGATAGCGTATTTTCAAGTACTAGAGATCCCACGTAACGTAGAAATTCGACCTATCTACTCTAATTTTGAATTTAGCCACCAGATAGCGTATTCAAGAGCTAAAAATCCCAATAGATTTGTTTTTTTTTTTTCTACTAAAATTCTAAAGTCGAATTTAAATTGTTGATTGATTGCAATAGAAATAATAATATTTATAATAATTTATTAATAATTATTATTATAATATAAATTAATAATATTAATAATATAGATAATAATAATAATAATAATTCAACCCCTGAAAATGAAATTTTAATTCTTTCTCCCTCCCCAATCCCATTTCTTTAATAAAACCCCTACCCTAACTAATTTAAAAGTTTAATTTGATTTTTTTTATGTTTTTTTTTCTTTTTTTATTATATTTAACGAATCGAAACTAACTTGGAAATTAATCATTTAAGGACAAAAAAAAAGAAATTCCAATTGAGAACAATTTTGTAAATTGAAGTCCTGAGAAAAGAAATGTAAAATAATTTTTTATTTGCAAAACACATTGCTAAAGATACAAAAAAATTTGAATTTGATATTGCGAAAAAATTGAATTTCGTGTAAGAAATAAAAAAAAGGGAAAACCTATTAGTATCATCCATTATTTTATTATTATATTATTATTATTATTTTTATTTATATTATTTAAATATATTGCAAAAATGTATGAGCTCATCATTGGGGGTGCATTGAAATATTAAAACTCATTGAATCAAAAAACACAAATATAATTGTTTTGAAAAAAAAAAAAATAAAACAAAAGTATGATAATCGAAAAATAAATGTAAATAAAAAAAAAATAAATTTAGAAAAATAATAACAAAATATGTACATATTATTACTTCACGATAATCTATCCGTTATTATGTGACCTAAAGAAGAAGAAGAAGAAGAAGAAGAAGAAGAAGAAAACAAAAATATATCTATTTCTGATAAGAGTAGAAGAATTAATGAGAAAATTAAAATGATGGAGAAAAAAAAGAAAAGAAAAAGAGAGAAAAAGAAAGAGAAAGAGGAAGAGAAAGAGAGTAAGAGAGAGATGAAATAAGAAATAAAACAGTCGCATAATTCGCATATAAATTGTACGTAAATCGATGATGATTAATATCATAAAAGAAAAAAAGAAAAAAAAAAAAAAGAAGGAATAAATTGTTTTCCTTAGATTCTTAGTTTCTTAATTATACTTCAAGAAATAATAAATTAAATCTTGGATTATAAGGAAGTAAGATAAACGTTAATAATTAGCATAGTAAACAAAAAAATTAAAATATTACAAATATTACAAATCTTCATATATAAATATATATATATATATATATATATATATATATTATACTTAATTAAATTTTGTATTTAAAATTTTACAAATTTTTTAAATAAGTTTTTTTATTATTATTAATTATATATATTAATAATAATAATAATAATAATAATAAAGATATATATATTATAATTTATAAAATAGTTAAAAATTATTATAATTTATTATTATAATAAGTTGGTTTATTTATTAAATTTTTTTATATTATATTTTTTATTTTTCATTATAATTTTATAATTATAAATTTTTTTTTAAATTTATAATTATTTTTTATAATAATTTATTAACTATTACAATTTAATTAATTATAACATACATATATATAAATATTTTAAATTATATATATTATATAATTATTTTAATAAATATTAAATATTTGATATATAAAATATTAATTTTTAAATTAATTCTTATATATTATAATTATATTAATAAATATATAATATATTTATTAAAATAATAATATGTATAAAATAAAAATAAAAACTTAATTTAAATAAGTGTAACTACTACAATTTAATTGAATACAAATATATATATATATATATAAAATAATAATAATAATAATTTGTAAATGAATTATAAGATATTTTAATAACATTAATAAAGCTATGATATATTTATTAAAATAATAATAATAATAATAAATGTATTAACACTAGATATACCACCATTTTCACTATACCTATTTCTACCACACTAATCAAAATGACTGAGTGTATAAAAAAAAATGCTTTCTGAGGCCTTCCAGTCTTACTTACTCTATTTACAGAAATCAAATGTTACATGAAGTAGAAATTTAGAATTAAAATGGCCACCACAGTCAAAATGACTTGTCTGGTATATCTAGTGTTTAAAATAAAATAAAAAAAAAAATAAAAATAAGAAAAGAAAAATCAAAAGACTCACCGTTTTGGATGACAAGCAATCGTCGTTCAAATAAATATGATGCGTCTCCCATCTGCGTAAAAATTTAATAAACATTATTTTCCTGACGAGTGTCCTATCGTCATGATCAAAATAATAAACTTGTACATCTCCTTCTTCCAATAGTTTAAATCTAGGACCATAACCAGCTAATGGTTCCGGTCTACCGATGGTATAAATGTCTTCTAAAAGTCTTTCTAAAATATTACAAGAACGTGGAGCGGCAGGTACTTTGTTGGGTGGTGTTAAACTTAATGTAACTGGACACGAATTGATCATAGATTCAACTTCCATAGAATTGTCATCTAGCATTGAATAACAAGTTGTCAATGAATTGTCATCGTATAATGGATCACGAGTGTTGTTATCGCTGCTACCAGATTCACAACTTGATGATCTTGTTGTCGATGAAACAACACCTGCCATACCACCACTTGTAAGTTTAGTTGAACTCGCAGTATTAGTTGTTTTATTATTATCTTGTCTTATTGCGGTGCAACCGTTAACAGAAAGAAATTGATAATACGGTACGGTACTGGTCGATGTTAAAACAACTTTCGAAGCAGCTGCAGGACTGGATGGCAACGAGGAAGCTTCTTCTGTTTCAGCGTTATCTTCTTCCTCATACTCCTCCTCCTCCAACTCTTCTTCTTCTTCTTCCTCCTCCTCCTCGTCTTCTTCTTCTTCTTCTATTTCCTCCTCCTCTTCTTCTTCTTCTTCCTCATCAATTTCATCGTCATCATCATCATCATCTTCTTCTTCTTCTTCTTCCTCCTCGCTAGCAGAAAATCCATTTTCTATAGAAATTAAATCATCACTAGTTGAATGATTGGTGACATTTACAGGAGACAAAAGTGATACTCTTGAAGATGAAACTTCAGGATTACTTGTAGTTGTACCACCAATACCAACATCACTGCTATTATTAATATTCCTTTCTTCATCTTCTTCTTCTTCTTCTTCCTCTTCAGTTTCAGTTTTATTTTCATCCAAAAATCTATTTGTAATTAAATCATTCCTACTTTCAACACTAGCACCAATATTAACTGCAACAGCAGCAGAAGATGTTGCAGCAGGTGACAATGAAGATGACGACGAGGTTGACGTTGACGATGACAATTCAGTGTTACTTGTATTATTACTAGTATTATTGGCAGTTAAATTACCATTGCCGGATGATGATGAAGGTGATGAACAACTGGTTGACGTTGATGGTGACGATGAATCCTTCATCAAACTGATACCATTTAAATGTACAGTAACATCGTTAGGTGATGATGATCTCAAGGTATCCTTTGGTAAAGGTGACAATGGATCAACGTCTAAATAATCTATCCTAATTCCAGGTAAAGTATCTGTACTGCTACCTGCCGATATTGATGATGGTTCCTGATCGATATATTTGATCGATGATGATCCTGAACCCTCCTCACTTGTTGTTGTTGCTTCCGATCCTCTTCTTTTCGTTGATGATGATTTTTTATTCTTTTTTAATTTAGGATTTAACAATAACAACGACGACGATGACGATGAAGACGATGTTGGATTTACATTTCGAGATGTTCTCGTAAACGGACTCGGAAAACCAAACATTTCTTATTTGTTTTCTTTTTATTTATTACGTTTAGATATTTATTTATTATTGTTCTGTCAATTTTATTTAAATTTATCACTATTTGAATTATTTTCTTGCGATTTATTAACACTTTTTGTTTTTTTTTTTTTTACTTTTACTTTTTTCTTTCTTTTTGATTTAGCAAACAATATTTTTATCCAATTAATTTATACTCTCGTGTTTGTTTATTTGTATGTTTTTTATTATTATTATTATTATTATTATTATTCTACGATATTACAACGCCCGAATTGAGATAAACGATCATTTTTTTGGTTTTCTTTTATGTTGGTTTGATTTTCAAACATAACGGAAAGACAATTTTTGTCGAACACGTTGAAACCAATCGCGAAACATTTCGCTATATTTTTTTTGTATTTTTTCTTTCTTCGATATTGAAATAAATATTCAAACGATAGTATTGAAAATAATGGCGGATTGACAAGTAAGAATTAGAATGATCTTTGAAAATTATATATGAAATAATTGGGAAGTAACTAAATGAAAACACAATTGTATTGCAAACGTTTTCCAAATCAAATTTTCACTATTTCTTCTTCTTTTTCTTTTTCTTTTTCTTCTTCTTCTTCTTCTTCTCAAATATGGTAAGAAAAATTCTGCAACAGAAAATAGTAGAGAAAAACAAATGTTAGAAAAAAATTAATTTAATTAAATTAAATAGAACATTTTTTACTTAACATTAGATTTACGGACTGAACATCACATTTGACTCATGATTATATAAAAAATTTGATTACTATATACAGTATATAGTATAATAAATAGTATAAATATAGTATATATATATATAGTATAGTATATATATATATATAGTATAGTATAGTAAATAAAGTAAATACAATAAATACAGTAAAATATTACAGTAAGTAAAAATAATTAAGTAAATAAAATAAAGTGAATAATTTAAAATATTAAAATACGGTAAAAAAAGTAAAGTAAATACAGTATATACAGTATAATGAATAGTAAAATAAAAAATAAACAATATATAGTAAAACTTGATTACTATATACAGTATATAGTATAATAAATAGTATAAATATAGTATATATATATAGTATAGTAAATACAGTAAAATTACAGTAAGTAAGTAAAAATAATTAAGTAAATAATTAGGTAAATAAAATAAAGTGAATAATTTAAAATATTAAAATACAGTAAAAAAAAAAGTAAAGTAAATACAGTATATACAGTATAATGAATAGTAAAATAAAAAAATAAATAAATATTAAATAAATACATGAAAAATAAAATTAAATAGTAAAATAAAAAATAAACAGTATATAGTAAAATTTAGATTACTATATATACAGTATATAGTATAATAAATGGTAAATATAGTATATATAATAGTATAATAAATACAGTAAATACAGTAAAATATTACAGTAAGTAAGTAAAAATAATTAAGTAAATAATTAGGTAAATAAAATAAAGTGAATAATTAAAAATATTAAAATACAGTAAAAAAAAAAGTAAAGTAAATACATTATATACAGTATAATGAATAGTAAAATAAAAAAATAAATAAATATTAAATAAATACATAAAAAATAAAATAAATAATAAAATAAACAATAAATAATATACAGTCAAATTTGATTACTATATATATATATATACATATATATAGATATACAGGTCTCTACCGGAAAATTCTGTTCATTTTGAAAATAAAATAAAATAATAAATTATTCTTAATTTGAACAATAACAATTAATTAATTTAATTTCTTGTTGAACTTCTTGCAAACATGGTGGCAATTTGTATATTCCATTTTAAGAAATGAGATCTTACCCCCTAGTGACGAAAAATTGAACTAATGTTTATTTGAACAGACAAAATTTTCCGGTATACCTAATATATCGTAAAATTATACATATTGTACAATAAATAGTAAAATAAAAGATAAAAAAAATGTACATATATATAATAAATAATAAATACATCTAAAAATAAATAATAAATAAATAATAACAATTAATAAAATATAAAATAAATAGTAAAATAGAAATATATAATAAATAATCAAAGTTGATTGCTATATTATATACATTATAGTATATAAATTATTATATATATATATATATATATATATTATTTTTATTTATTATTAGTTTATTATTATATTATTTTTTATTATATTATATTATTTTTGAAAAAAAACATATGTTTATTTTTAATAACGCAATGAAATATACGTAAATATTAGAATTCTTCTCCCATCCCTTCTACTTTACTTTACTTACTTATTCAAAACAATGTTTGTAATGAAAAAAAAAAAATACTATAATAAAATACTATAAAAAACTATAATATAATATATATAGTAATATATAATATGATATGTATAATAAAATACTGTAAAAATACTATAATATACAAAACATCCGTAAATCTAGTGTTAAACTTTAGAAAATGAAATATATAATATATATATATATATATATACATATATGAACTATATGTATTTGTACGTATTACTGTAAATAAATGTTTCCGTGTTCATATGCGTGTATATATATATATGTGTGTGTGTGTATTTCATTTAAAGGAGGTATCGTGACGCTCGACAGCAAATATCGATTATATCGCAAGAGTCCGGCTCCCTTACATTTTTAGTCCTTATATTACATTTTTTATTTTATTTTAAATTATTATTATTATTATTATTATTTTTCCTCTTATATATTATTATATAAAAAAAATATATAATCTTATATATTTCTTTTATTTCCTCCTCCTATATATATATAATAGTATAATAATACATAATTTAATATTAATTATTTTTTAATTTTATGTTTTTGTTTTTTTTGAAGTAATAATTAATTATTATTAAATTAATTTAATTTATTATTTTAATTTTATAAAATTATATAATATATAATAATATAATAATATTAATTGTATATTTTTCTCAATAATTCCGATTAAAATAATATATTGAATGAATTGTAAAAAGGAAAAGAAGTATTGACAATAAAGTCTTTCTTTCTTTCTTTCTTTTTTATTTTTTTTTTTATTTATTTTTTTTATTTCTCTCTCTCTCTCTCTCTCTCTCTCTCTTTCTCTTTCTCTTTCTTTTTTCTTGTCTTCTCTAATAATAAATCTTTCTTCGAGATTGGACCTTCTTCGAAAGGACGACGAACTCTCGACGACGTTGAACTCGACAATGGCGAACTCTCCAGAACTATATATATATATATGTGTGTGTATGTGTAATATGTGCGCGCGTGTTCTAAGAGAAATGAGACGAGCAAGCGCTCTTCTTCTTCTTCTTCTTCTTTTCTTTTCTTATCCTTTCTCCCTCATCCTCCATATTTTCTTTTTTAAATGAAGGGGTTGCTTGTCCAAATTCAGAGTGAAAATAATTTGATTGATTTCAAAATCATTATGACAAAAATTCTTCTTTCAACGCGTTGAATGCCACGCGAAATTCTTAGGGAAATTTCCGTCAGGCCACAGGCGTTACTTTGTATTGAAAAAAAAAGTAGTTGAAAGTGTCAGTCATAAGTGACTGACACGGACCAAACGGAAAGTCTAGTGTCAGTCACCGATTGCTGACGTGGCCTAAATGAAGGTCTAATGTCAATCATCGATGCAACCCTGATGTGGCCTAAACGGAAAGTCTACTGTTAGTCACCTGTGACTGATACGGCCTAAACTAAAAGTCAAGTGTCTGTCACATGTGACTGACGTGGTTTAAACGGAAATCTAGTGTCAGTCACCGATAGCTGACGTGGCTTAAACGGAAGTCTAGTGTCAGTCACCGATAGCTGACGTGGCTTAAACGG